CCGTGCGAGATCCGCGTGGCGGGAAGTTGGCCCTGGCTGGATGATCCCCGGCCTAAATTAGCATACGGCTCTCTCAGGCCGTCGTTGGAAAAGGAAGAAACGTGTGTGCGTCTGTATATATGTACGTGTCTCAGCCCATTTTTTTACGGTTGCGAGCCTTAGTCACAGCTGGAAGTCACTTTAGTATTGTGTAATGTGAGAAACGACGTGTATATTCTGACCACGCGTACGGAGAATTCACTCCGGGGTTAGGAACGGTGTCGTGATACCATTGTGTTAGGCAAAGGCCACTAAAAGGGGAAAATACCGAGCGGATTGGTGCTGATGTCAGAACGTTCTGCCCCCTGTGAGGCTGCTGTTGTACCTGCTGCCAAAACGCGCGGCCCGTCTGTTAAGCGATTGTATCAGAGCTGTCGTTTCCATTGCGGTGCACGGAGAGCCGCAAAAGCCACAGTTGCAGTAGGATAGTTTGGTAAAGCTGCCTTTTAAAAAGAAACGCCTCCAGAGGGACTGTCTGCTGTAACCCAGAATTTTCCCCCACAGTGCGTTGTAAAGCAATTAAAGGTGGGAAGTTGTCTTATTGCCAGAAAGTACCATCAACGCCGTTCTGCTTTGCTTAAATGGTTAATTTCATCAGAAAAAACATTCCTCCCTATTGCTGTTTCCAGCCGGTGCCGTGACTGACACATGTATCAAAATTCCATATGCAAACACACCTCTACTCACACGCTCCGAAAAAGCATAATGCAACTAAGAGCGTGCGCCCATCGCTCGTCACGGAGAATGTCACTCATCAGTCAAAAGTGAATATTTACAACATAAGTTATTCGAAACGTAGGTGTCAAACTCAGGATAATTTGAAGGTATCAGCTGAACAGTTCTGCCCACCCTAGCGAGGGCTGGCTTTGTTCTGGTTTAGGTGGCGAAAGTAACAGACGGACAAAGCAACACAACAGCAGGGCCATGTGGGACATGTCTGGCCTTGAAAATTTAATGAACTCTTGTCTCTAGTAATAAGGGGTAACAAAATAATACTGTTCTATGGTGTCTGAGTTCTTAGGCTTACATGGCTGTTGTGTTAACTTTATTCTCATTTTGTTTTCTGACTGGTATTAGAATGGATACACCCCTCTGCATATTGCTGCCAAGAAAAATCAGATGCAGATAGCTACCACTCTATTGAACTATGGGGCTGAGACCAACATTTTGACCAAGCAGGGAGTCACCCCGCTTCATTTGGCCTCCCGAGAAGGTCACACTGACATGGTGACCTTGCTTTTGGAGAAAGGATCCAATATCCACGTGGCAACAAAGGTAACTCACAACCGGTGGCGAAATACTGTGGGTGGGAGTATCCAGTAAGATGCAGAGTGCAGCGTAGAAATGATGTCTCATTGTCAGGAATTCTCAGCTTCACTTCCTTATGTACATATTTGTGAGTCTGCAGAAGTGACAACAGGTGGGTGAAGAGTAAAAGTGAGAAGAAGATATCTAGGACTGGCAGATGGATTGACCAGTTAACTTATATCATGTAGTTAATACCTGTACTAGGTAACGCACGGGAGGAGCTGCAGCTGTTTGCTGTGACCGGAGGAAAATGATGTAACACCTCGCTCTGGTAGAGAGGTTACAGGAGGAAAGGCAGATAAAGAGAAAATTGTTTCTGAGCATTCAGGAGGGCAGGACTGCAGTATTTTTGTTGTGCTGCAACACTCTCAGGTGTTTTGCATATGCTCCTGAAGTTTTACATTAGATGCAAGGGAAGAGGAATGTAAAATTCTGGAGTTTGTGGGTCCGTGGGTAGATTTAACAACACGTATCAGATACCTGAGAGCTACAGTCTAAAATAGTTCAGTGCTCTTGCCAGCAAAGGTGCTTCTCCTCGTACATTTACCCTTCAGCCTTCTTTCCAAGTGGAAGAAATTGGCAGTGTCTGGCCAATAACAAACCAACATTATTAGCGGAGTAGTGAATGAGAAGAATCCTATGGAGGACCTTTCCAATTTTTCTGATATTTTTTTTTATGATGGTACATGACAGCTTTTTCACAGAAAACTTCTTCAAAAAACCCCCCTCATTACTGTAGATCTTCATAGGTCACCAGATTTATCCAGGCATATGTGTAAGTCTTTCTTACTTAAGGTCAGAAGCCTGCAGCTTTTGTTCATACAAGTCAAAATAGAAGGCCCAAGTCTCTCATTGTCTGGCATTAATGTATTATGCTACCTAACCAATGAGAAACAAGGTGTTTTTCATTTCTCTTACAAAATTTGTTCCCTGCCTTGTTCACAGGCAACTACTATGTGCATGATCACAGTGAGCGTTTAGTTAAAGGCTGCATCCATTTCCTTGGCATCTTTGAATGGGATCTATTTCTGGAGTTATTTTCTTCATTCTGACTCGTGCCTGCAGTTGTCAAGGTTCCCTTTCTTGTCTGAGGAGTGGGAAGCACAGTGAATGTGCTTCCCTCATTTATTAATGGGCTCCTCAGCTTCCCAAGTGACATTATTGTATATAATCCGAGCGTGATCATTGATGCCTGAAAGTTTTACTCTGTGGTTATGGTGATGTAATTGCTTTGGAGCTGTTTGTCAGCCGGAACAGGAGAAACATCAACTCTACTTTGTTTAAAAAAACCACCCATGCTTGGAAGCTATAGTTAGGATCTCTTCATGTTTTAAAGATGAGAAAGTGGGAAAGTCTAGATTTCTTTCCTCGTGTAAAGTAGGTTTTAGTCTTATTTTTATCTTTATTTATTTATTTTTTATATTCCACCTCCAGACTGGACTGACATCCTTACACCTTGCAGCTCAAGAGGATAAAGTGAATGTAGCTGAAATACTCACAAAACACGGTGCAAACCAAGATGCTCAGACAAAGGTAAGTCATGGAGTGGCTACTGTCTCCAGTGTGCCAAAGGATGCTACCGTTGTAAAAGGAATGTTCCACTGAGCTTGCAGTTTTACTTCTTTGTTCTCTTATTGTAGCTTGGTTATACACCTTTAATTGTGGCGTGTCACTATGGAAACATCAAAATGGTGAATTTTCTTCTCAAGCAGGGAGCAAATGTCAATGCTAAAACTAAGGTAAAGAATTTTTCTTTGCTTGCTTTTGCTCTTTATTATGAATCTGGTAACCAGGCACTGCGAATACATACCATAGGTGCCTTTTCACTAGGAAACTGTAATTATTGCATGGTAGGTGTCAACATATGGTTATTTGTGGCTGTAGTGGAATGCCTTCTCTCTGCTACATCTCATTGTGTAGTGTTCACAAAAGTCAGGTAACTCCTTGGGTGTATGAAAGAAGGAGGTAAAGAATTTCATTGGTTTCTTTATTTTTCTTTTTACTTGCAAACTAGCAAATGCGAGCTTGTTTCTGATCTCATTTACACATGGTTTACACCAGTGTAATACCGGTGTGCTGCCAAACTAGTAAGTAACAATTCAGACGCTTCGAGGGTGATGCCATGTTCTCTCCAATCTGCTGGGAGAAGAGTGGGAAGAATTACTGCTGAGCAAAGCGTGGGTGGTATGGCTGTGGGAGAGGAAGCAGCTGCGGTGGGGGAATGCAGTTTACTGAAGACAGGTTTGGGGTTTTTTTTTAGGGGAATCCGGGTACACTGTTGCTTACCAGTTATACTGAAACGGACCTGACTGCCTATAGCCAGAGTCTGAACAAAATCCACTGACTTCAGTGGTTTCTTCTAGTATAAATGGGTGGGCACAACAGCTGAATGTGATGCATTTTGTAGCAAGAATTGTGTATCTCCCGAGTACACACAGAGAGGTTCTGGTGACAGCAACAGTGTGTTGCATCCCAGATATCATCACATCACCCTTATCAGAAAGAGAAGGCTAACTCAGGAGCTGCAGGGCTTCAGCTTAGTTAAAAGCTGGCTTCAGGCAATAGCTAGCTACTAGCTTTAGATCGGGTGTCGTGGGATCAACATGAAGAAGTCCATTGATATTTCTAGTGACATACTTAGTGTTTGTAAGATCTAGTCAAAATCACAGGCTTGTGGTCTGCTGGTCCCTCTGGCCAGCTCCTCTGTCCCCAGCTGCTACCTATGGGATGGATTCATTTCTCAAAGTCGCAATATTTCGTCACAGTGGTCACAGCTCAATGTGGTAAGAAACAGCAAAGTAAATAAATAAAAGATGCTGGTCCCTCCCTCGTGAGATCACCCAAAATCAATGGGCAAAAAACAGGGATTCCAAAAGAACAGGCAACATTACTAGAAAAACAGCTGATAAGAATTAATAAAGCAGACACTAGCAGGATCCAAATGTTAGCTGCCAAGACGTTCAGCTGAGGTATTTGGAGGCTAACTAAAGGGACAGACGTACTTGCGTCTTTAGTATTAGGTCTCACTCTATACCTAAGGGGCCACTGGGCCAGATTCTGACGCCATTTTCCCAGGTATTTCACTTACTTAGAATACTTTCATTAAAGTCAGCAAGTTTGTATGAGAGTATGAGGCAGTGGTTCTCCAAAACCTCAGACCTAGGGACCAATAAAAATACTGGCAATCTGCCAACTGGTACTGTGGACTCAGTTTAAAGAGCAAATGCATCCTGGCTGGATTCAGGATAGGCACGCTAAAGGATAAGTAACCTCTATTGCAGCTTGGTCTTTAACTAGAGAAAGTCCACATGGTGCTTTGTGCCGTCTCCAGTGAAAAATAATATGGCTGAATTCTGTTTTTGAAGGACTGCACGAATTTACTTTGCACTACAACCTACAGTAAAATCCTCCTTTGATTTCTTAGTAGTCCATGCACACGTACTGTAAATGTAAGAACTGTAACAGTTCTGAACTATGACTATTTAATTAGTAGTACAAAGCATTACTTGCATCTATTTGTTTGCAAAAGAGATAACTCTCAGAGTGTGTCTTTCAGAGCCTGCCCCCAGGCTTTGCATAAGTGTACAGTGAGATCAACTTGGTGTTTTCTTCCAGTTTATTCTCTGCTTGCTTTCAAAGCCAATTGCAAATAATTTTGTAAATGAATTGCCTGACTGGACTTACACAATACCATCTCAGATCAACTAGCTAAAGTATGCTTTGGTTATGTTTCCGTATTGTGTAACATTAGAATGAATCACTGGAGCAGATAAGTATATGGAGTTAAGCGTGTTTATTAATACAGACATTGTGTACATGTTTTTAAGTGTAATTACAGCTTGGTCAAGCCTTTTGAAGGCAAAGTAAAGCTAAAATTGATTGACATTTGTAATGGGTATATGTTGTTAGCCTTTTTAAAAGCGAATAGTCTCAAATCACTGCTGTTAAAAATTATATATTTTTTTAAGTGGCTCAAATATTTTAAAGGCAAGTCTTGAGGCTTCTCTAGAAAAATAAGACATGAGAGGAAGAAAAATGTTCTCTGCCTCAGCTGTGATTCTGTGTCCTTAGCATGCCACTTTAACTTTACTGTTCCTCATTGCTCCTCCCTCTGATTTAGGAAATGAGGAATTATCTGTCTTTCCAGAGATTGCTTATATTGTGAGATGAAAAGTGATTTGTGAATAAAAATATTATCTTCCTTTATCTTTTCATTAATCTGGGGAAGGAGTATTTTTATTACTGAAGATCTATTATCTTTGGGTCGATTGATGACACAATTTCTTTTTGAAATGTCTCAAAAAGAGCAGAAGGAAGCAAAGCCAAGCGTCTAATCTAATTACTGGTGGTTGTTGTTCTTTGTTTGTTTGTTTGTTATCGTAACCACCGTGGACAACAGAATGGGTACACCCCTCTTCACCAAGCTGCTCAACAAGGCCACACTCACATCATTAACGTTCTTCTCCAACATGGGGCCAAGCCCAACGCCACCACCACTGTAAGTCTGTGAAGTGCCACTGGGAACTTGTTTCCCTGGACAGTTCTTTTCTTTCCTTTCTTAGGGCTTGAGAGCAAGCCTTTGTTTTGGTGAGAGTATTCCTCGTACAGCTGGTTGTCAGATGTGTGAATGTAACTTCCTCTTCTTTTCCTTTTCCTCTTAAGGTAGTTCGGATCAGATCTAACTCATTGTGCACTAAGCTAAACGTGAGGTGGGGAAACTGATTTCTGAGCTGCAGAGTCAGGCTGGCCACAGCTGGCTGTGCAGTGCTTGTTCAGCTGCCCTCTGCCTCAACGCTTCCGCCTGTGAATTGATATCTCGATAAGGATTTTTCCATAAAAATGAAAGGGAAATCAGAACCTGGGCTTTTTTGAAGATTTAGACCCAAATTTCTGTCCCTCTATCCACTGGATCTGTTTCAGGTTCTTACTGAGTTCACTGATGTTAATGCCTCCTCAAAGACTCCATAACCCCTGGCACAGCTCCTTCTCCGCAGTCAGCCAGGAATGCAACCGTCCTATTTCATGTTGATGTTGTTATTAGTCGCTTCTAATTGGGTAATCTTTAAAATGCAGCCAGAATGTCCAAAACTCATGTCATTCCCCAGAGTGGATCAGGTTTCCGTGTACATATATCGTGCATGCTTAAATCAGCACTGGCGCCCTGTTTGGTCCTGGAACGATCACATTGAATAACCTCCTGTGAAGTTATCCAAAATACCAGTTTATGCACCAGATCATCAAGCAAGAGACCATTGTGGTCAGCTTCTGGGGCTGTAGGTTCTTTTGGGCATGTTCAGCTGAAGGTCTCTTTTGCTTTCAGTCCTCGTGTTGGGGCTGTCATGCCCAAATCTAACCCAAATCCAAGCAGGGTCTGAAGGATGTATCTTTACTGCACAGTTTGCGTGCATTCTCAGGTACTACATCTGTTCTTGTCCACACATAGCAACCTCTGGCTTGAGATAAGAGAGAATTTCAACCTGGGACATCTGGCACGGGGATATGGGAGTGGGATATGAGCAGTTAATGTGCAAGTGACAGTAACAGTCAAATTATTTGTGCTGTGAAGATGCTCATCTATTCATTTTGCGCTGCTAATCCACAAACACTGTGTTGCTTCAGGGTTGCTGAGCCAGACTAATACAGAAGAACTTAAATTATAGGTAACTAAAGCCAATACTGAAGTAGAAGGAAGCCCTCAGGCTGATATCCTGCGCCCAGTGCAGTGGTGTCACAAGAGAAGTCATTTCAGCGCAGAGCGCGGTACAGTGGCCGCAGCAGGCCAGTGTGTTGTCCTTTGGTTCAGTGCAAAATTACATAAAACAATCCTGTGTAGAGCTCTTTACAAAGACAACCTCCCCAAGTTGAGTGACACGGGGACCGTGGACTGCCAATGTTCCAGGTGATGAAATGGAGATAAATAGGCCTGAACACTTACTAAATTATCATTTTAATGTCCATTTGATGAATGGTACATCTATATATCATGGGCATTTAAACTGCAAATAAATTTATTTAAATGGAAATTAATTCCCTACCCCCAAACCTTACATAGGTTGGTTTTGTGTTTGTTAAATCATTAGCTTTTGCATACTTTTATTGGGCGTACATTTTTGTTGTAAGGAGGAATAGAAGTGTGTGTGGACAACACAGCTGTGATCTTGTATTCCCCAAAGAGCAAATTGTACCTGGTAAAGATTTAACAGTTTCAACTGGAAGGGAAACTGTAACATTTTAAAGTACTTTTTTTAGGAGAGTGTTTCTGATGTAGTGCCGTTTATGCAAAATAAAACATGAACTTCTGCAGACAAGATGCATTCTGTATAGTGAAATGTGAGCACTGAAGGGTTAAACCATACAGCACTTTTTTATTTAGAATAGCAGGCAGATGTAAGTGTGTTGTGTTACCATGGTAATCGGGGCTATAGTCTTAAAGAAGTTACAAAGACAGAGTCAGATGTAACGGTAAAAAAACAGTGATTTTCCTAGGCTGTGCCTTGTTTTGGATGGAAATGCTGGCTCATGCAGTGTTGAGAGTGATCTCATTGGTTCACATCACAATCCTCCCTCTCACTGCGCTCGCTCTCTCCCCTTCTCTCTTTTCTCTTCAGAATGGTAACACTGCCTTAGCTATTGCAAGGCGTCTGGGATATATCTCAGTGGTCGATACGCTGAAGGTTGTAACGGAGGAGATTACCACCACCACAACTGTGAGTTGCAGATACATTAAAATGTCTCTCTTCTTTATTCAGAATGTTTTCTTTCTCTTCTTCCCTCAGACTCTCCATGTATCTCCTTCCTTTTTTTTCATTTTCTGGTTTTAGCCCCCCCTTTCTGTTGGATTTTTGCAGAAGTGCTACAATGCTTTCAGTATATCTTTTAAGCATGTGGAAGTGTTTGCAACACAACAGGCTTCCCTGAGCTAGGTAACAAAATCTACGTGCATACAGATGGAAAACAACTATTCAAAAGCAGAGTAAAACTTTTTTCTAGGTACGGGTCTGAACTGCAAACCCAAACTTTCCAGAAGTTTGTGCATTGCTGTTTAGATCCTGTCCTGTTTCTTTTTTCACCTCTCCTTTTCAGTCTGTCCTTACGTTTCCACACTTTTGACACCTACTGAGGCTCAACCATTGCAGGACACCACAGCAAGCTGCTTAGTGTTTGGACTGTAGCAGCCATGGACTGGTGCCAAGCTTCATGATGCTCGCTAGATGGCTCTGAATCACATCAATCATCTTTTTACTCAAGTCACTTTCGGTTCAAATAGATCCTGTTTTTCCAAAATACGAAAGAATCTTTCCTTATGTGCTCAGTCCTCTCAGTCCTCCACACTCTTGGTAGTCTGTATGTTGACTTCAGGCTTTGTGAATAGTATGCGCTGAACATCAGCAAGGTGGTACTGTTGCTTTAAGCCCAGAAAAACTGATATATTCTGACACTCTGGGAGGGGAAGGTTTTCTCTTCTTGGACTTTTACCTCCCACCCACAAATGTTTTAGCAGGTAGGAAGGGTGAACATTAGAAATAGTGCATCATTTAAGAAATTAATGTTAATTTACATTTCCATTACTGCATTTTATCTTGAAACACTGTTGTAAGGTCATGCTTTTTTTTTTTTTTTTAATGCAAGAAAGATTAGCAGTCTAGAAAACCTGTCAGATCTAGGTGCCATTTAGGAGCTCAGAGCCATAAAAATCCACAGATCACCTAAAAGATTCCACTACTCAATCAGGGAGAGGGTTAGAGGAGGGGAAGAAACCCAAAGTCTCTTGTAAAGAAATGGGAAAATAATTTTGATTTTGTCGCATGCTGACAGCAAGTCCCACTGATATTAACCGAGGAAGATGGAATAAACGTAACATGGCATAAGGTTACGAATAGAGTGAGCCATAATTTATTAATGACCTGCAAAGATCAGACTGAGTCAGGTTTGGACAAGGAATTCCAGCGTAATTCCAGAAGTCTCTTAATAAAGACTGTATGTTTTTGTTGTTATTTATTTCGTGTTCATGTTTAATCATGTAGCACATCGCACATGTATGTGCATAAACACATATGTATCTATTCAGAGATGTAGAAAAATAAAACCCGGGTAAAATATTTTGAGAAACTTTAGCTCTTTTCAAAGGTATATTTTTTTTAGCCTCAAATGACACCTTCGCTGTTCTCTGTGCTGTGTCCTGGCACACTTTTTCCATTTATGCCTGATGTAAGTTGTAACTTCCTTGCTGTCGTACATTGTGTTGCACTGTGGAGCTTTGTACCTTGTCATATGTAAGTATGAGATGCTTTGTAATAATAGGGATTACACTATGAAAAGACACCTGGGAGTTATTTACTTTGGATAAATGTTTCTTTAAACTTTGAGGGTAATGGATTTTTCTACCGGATACCAGATGCTTGGGGTTTAGGACTGAATCAAATACTGAACCTTACTTGCATAGCTGACCTCTGATGCTTGCATATAAGAGAAATCTGAAATCTTGAACTGTGTCTGTGTACAAAGCACTGCTTTTAAAAGTCAGATGGGAACCCGTGATAAACTCGGCAGATTTTTCAGCTATGAGTTTGTCTGAATCTTGTACCTTCGGGATATATAGAATATAAACCTCTGGTGGTGGCGTTCATGGTGAGGAATGTTGATTAAACATAATTTAGAACAAGTCCTAAAAAGCGGGGATAAATAACAGGCTCTCACAGGCGGCACTCCCTGCAATAAAGTTCTCCAGATGGTGAGGTTGGTGTTGCCAAACCAGAACACAGCACTTAGCACTGAAAAAAAGGTGCTGTCACCATAGCTACTTCATTCTCTAAGGTTGTAGCTGAGTGATGCATGGAGGATGTTAGACAGGCCGATGCTTTATTGATATTCAAGTCACTGGCATTTGAGATGAGGAGATCATCTCCGGTGCCAAAGCCTTTGGTCTAACTGTGAACAAATTTTCCTCTTACTTGCATTAGCGTTATTATTGGTGGAGCCACATGAATATAAAGCAATAGAGAGAATAAAGTGCACTTATTTTTACTCACAGATTAGAGATGAATAGGAAGTAAATCAGAATAAGCTAGACTTTCAAAGGTTTGCTATGCAATTAAGCTTTGGGATATTTATACAAACAGGCATAATCTTCCTGCGGCCAAATGAATATATGAGGAGCTTTGAGGTTGTTTACAGTATACTGCTGTTGAGTGAGTAATAGCTGAATATACATAAAGGTTTATATACCTGAATTATATATCTGAATTATCCTATGCCACCAGATGAAAATCTGGCCTTACAATGCAAGTCTTAAATCCAGAAGCCTAAAGTACATAATTGAATTCTCAGTGGCACTAAACAGTAGGGAGTTTGAGAAATACACACTGAGCAATTTTCAAAATGGGCTGTTCACGGGGATAGATAGGGATTTTAAATTTTAAGAGTATTTGACATTTCTAATGTGCCTATCAATTAAAAAAATTCTAGTATTATATTAAAAGTTCATTTAAAAACATTAGTCACAACTTCTGTTGGGAATTGATGTAGAATTAATGATTCTTGCCGAGTTCAGTGTTCCAGAGATAGCATTACAGATTTTTTGTTCTTCTGAAACGTGTGCATGCGCGCGTGCGCACACACGCTCTCTCTTGATTCTGTTTTCCAAACTTTCTTTCAAATATTAAATTAGGTAATAATTTTCTCTGACTGAAGGGAAAATCAGGAAGTAAATAAAGTACCATTACTTCTCTGTAAATAAATAATAAGTAATAATGAGTCTGAGAGCCTCAGTCAGCGACCAGATTGTTGTTATTATATAGGGGCCTGTAAAAACCTAGTTTATGAATAAATTGATATCGTGATAAATAAACCTTAGTTACTAGGGTCTGCAGATCTAAGTTAATAGCAAGACAGTACACAACGTACCTCTATACCTGTAGCTTGTGGACTAGGGTATCGTAGCATCCTTTCACTTCTGTGTTCTTCTAATCAAATGGATTTTGTACGTCAGCTAAGGTTGGGAACCAAGTTTTCTTAAATAAATTTTGGTCATACAGCAGACATACAAAAACTAGCATTTGTGACTCCTGGGCAGACCCCTTCTTTCCCCTTTCTTCAGAATTTGGTCACCTCCTCCTGCCTTTGTATTTTTTTTTTTCCCTGGCTTTTCAGTTGTTTTACGTGGGGAACATACGAACTGGCAATAGAGAACTTGCAGTACGCTTTGCCTAGATACAATTGCAATGGCAATTACAATTACAATGCCAGTAAATTGGTACTTACATACAGTGCTTTCCACTTCACTTGGAAAATATACAGCCCCCTTCACCTGGGTTTATTTCTTTAGCCCAGTGTCAGTGGTTTTTTTTTTTTTACTTTACAATGTGTTGTTGAAGAGATGAGGTCAACCTCACCTGAACGATAGCATCCTCCCCATCTGTCGTCGCTGGCTTTGTCACCCTGCTGCTGCCTGACATTCCTATCTGAGGAAAGCCGTGGGAATGCAGGGGGGAAAAGTCAGATGTATTGGTGGAGGCATTTGGTGAATATAAACTAATTTTCAGCACAGAACGTGCGTTATGAAAAACACTGCAACAGAAATAATTAGTTGTCTTGAATCATGGGTAAGAGTGAATTTAGGAGGCCTAATTGGGATTGCCATTTGAAGCAAAGGGCGTTGTTCTTTCCCTGTACCTCAGGAGGGTGAATTGAAAACTGCTGTCACAGTTAAATATATTTCAAAAATGTAAAGCAGACTTTTAAAAGAAATTTCCAAAGTAATTACGCTGTTGGCAACTTTTTTATTTATAAAAGTGCAGTATCTTATAATAATCAAGAATGCTATCTTTGTCGGTTTGTTAGACAAGTATAAAACAGAATCAGGAAATACCGAGTAAGTTTTGTGCAACAAAACCTGCTATTGACTTCGCTGCTTGATATCAATGGGCATTTTCCCAAAAGCATATTGCATAAGGGACTCGGGATTTGGCTGACATTAATTACCCCTCAGATTGTATGCTCTTTCACTACTTCTGCATGTAATGTTAATTTATGCTTGATAGATACCATCCACAACAGGGAGTGAAGTACTTCCTCAGCGGGAGTTTCACAAGACACACGGCCTCCTGACATTCCTCTCCGTGCCAAAGGGGCACATCTGCTCCTACATACCTTAAAGGGCGATGTGTTGACTCCCCTCCACAGCTCCCCAGTTCAGCTGGCTGGCTGCAGATCTGGGTGGAGCCAGGGAAATACTTATTTTTCTGTTGTGACTAATGCTGTTCTGATCACTGCGCTTTTTTAAGTCCTTGGCATTTTGTCTCCTGTGTCGTAACACACTGAAGAGTTCCCTGAAGGCAACTTTTTCACACCTTGCACGTCCTACAGCTTCTCTCATTATGTTCTTCATCTCCTTCTGCAGTGTGTATTTTGATGCTAAAAGGATGTCCCCATTCTTGATTCAGCACCCCTGAACATCTTCTGTTTCCTCCTGGAAGTCATTTATGAAGACAAAAATCATATGAAAAAGAAGTCTTCCAGTGTTCTCCTACTCTGTGCTCTCACGCTTAAACAGTGTCCTCCCAGCGGTCCTCGGTCCATACTTGCCTTGTATCGCAGTATTTTAAGCTTTTAGGTGCACAAAGTATATCAGAATCTTCAAACAATTTCTTTTTCCCCTGATGTGTACGTGATTTGGGGGAATATACATGATTTATGAAAAGGATATCATTAATATGCGGTGTAGTCACTTTTCTGGGGGGAAGAAATGTTTCAAGTGATCTGTGTAAATCCTTCACATCTTTTTTTAGTTTAAAAATTTCACATCATTCATAACTTCGTTTCCAAATGCTTTACGATTTAATAATTTCCATATGCCACATACAACTTTCTGAAGCTCTTCTGTAGACATTACCTAATTCATTTTAAAATCATCTTGGAAACATTGAGCTGAATTGTTCTACATGCACCATTTATAAATAGATTTGCTGAGAGCTTTCTTTTCTTTTATTCTTCTGACCAGCTCATTATCTTTATTTTTTTGTACTTTTCTGCCAGAATAAATGTCACCTTATACAGCACTGAGAATAGGAGCTTCTGGAGTAAAGATGAAAAATAAGGTTAGGGGAAGGAGAAACACGTTATAAAATGCCTCAGCAGATCCCACTGCTGTTGCTGTTGAAAATATCCTGCTGTAAACTTTGCTGCTTCTTTTGGTGTTTAATTTGAGGATTGATGATTCTGTCTTTGCAGACTGTAACAGAGAAGCACAAGCTAAATGTACCTGAGACAATGACTGAGGTCCTGGATGTTTCAGACGAAGAAGGTGAGCAACTTTGCTAAGTTCCTATTCCGTATCACTTACGTAGCCTGTAATACAGGCTCAAGATAGCTGCTTAAGTACTTTATCATCTTCATTTTGCAGTGCTTGAAATGAAGTTCTATGTAACGGCCTTTTTTTAATGGTGTAGTCATTATGGCATTTGAATAAAGATGCCACAAGCTGACCCAAAGCAAAATGCTGGACCCCTACATCTTTTTCAGAAAAAGCTTATCTGAACCAAATCAACAAATGAGAACATTTCCCGACTTCAGATTTTAAAATTTAAATGTAGAGCTGTCCCAAAGCTGGGTTTGACCCTCCCATAAAGAGGAAATTGAGCAGTAAATTTTTTGGATCAATGCCACCTATTTCAGATACATATATCGAGGAGTTCTGCCTAATTGGAAACATTTGTGTAAGAAGATGCGTAAGGTGGAAGGTGAGGAGACCGTTAGCTTGAGGGAGCTTTTGGCACACACGAATCGCAGATACACACGGCATGACATAAAGTAACAACATGCTAATAAGTTCGGCACTTTGGTTTCAGTCTCTACTGTATGTACAGACAGGAGGCATATGTTGTACCGCTTAGCGAAGTCCCAAGAAAATTTCTGTGAACTTCTGGAGGGATTGATAAAGTACTGCGATTTTACACGGCACCGAATTAAGGAAATAGCTTAAGAACATCCCTTTCTAAAAGTTCACAAAAGACTTCTTAGAAATTTTAATCACAATGGCATCTGATAAATATACACAAGAATTTGCAAGAATTGTCTAAGTTCTTTTTTACTCTTGGCAGTGTTAATTAATATTACATGTTTTACATACGCCATTTTATGGTTGTTGCTATTATTTCATGCAAATAATTTGTAGAGTTAGTAATTTCAAAAAGTCCTAGGGATTTAGGCACACAGGTTACAGGGTTGGGTTTTTTTCTTTTGCAAAGAACACAAATGCACTTGTGGTTCTAAATGGTACTGGAAGTTAATGGCATTCATATTCCTAAACTGCTTGTATTACTTTCTGAAATGGGATTTATGCTGGTAAATGAGTTACGCTCTTGAGAAAATACGATGTTTAGGCTCCAGATACTACTTTTTTTTTGATGCTTGCAAAGCTGCAAGCGAAAGCAAACAAGTGTGATTCAAAAGAAATTATTTTCTGCTGCATCATGATCAGTGGAATTATTTCTCTCAGGCATGTTTTTGCTACATTTTCTCTGTTTGAAAAGCATTCAACTACTTGTGTAATTATCGTGAGAAATGGCCTTTAAATTGCATATAGCCTTATGTTCGCTTTGTTGAATTTTCTCCCAGTCTTTTGAACTACCATTTAACCATCTTTAAATCCACAAAGCCTAGTATGTCTTTCTGCCTCTACAGGATTAATACAGAGTATTCCTTTTTCTCAAACCAATTTGTATGTTGTACAGCCTTTAAACACTCTGATGATGAACGCTTCAGTGATGGTGAAGCATTTAGTGGCACAGGTGCTGTTAGCAGAAGTTCGTGGAGTAAGACTTACAAACTTTCTCTTTTTGTTTAACTCGGATTGTTTGTTTTATTTTTTGTGTTGAAGCAACATGAATTTGCTTAATCTGGGTGCCTAACACTGCTCCTTTTCATTACTTTTGAAGTGTGACTGGGCGTGTGTTTCCTGAAAGGTGGGAGGAAGAAGGGAAGCCAGAAAGTCCGAGATTTATTATTACCTGTATCTTGAATATGTTGGCAGAACTTACTGTGGCCATCCAGCATGACTAATGCTCTCCAGTGCTTTGAATTAACATTCTCTGCTTTCTGTTACCATCTGACACCTACTGTTTGTCAGTACCCAGCAGATACGACATAGGTACTCCGGCACATTGCTGCTCAAGGCTCAGTACTGAGCACTCATACTGATAGTGCCTCTGTGATCCTGCTGCGGGTTGCTAAGCAGGTTGGTCACAGTTAAAGCACTTGTCCTTGTAAAATCTGTTTCTACAGGCAAAACATTCAGGATTTTGTGAAAATTCCTAACATGGATGGTACTTGTCACAGGAACTTAAAATAGCTGGGGGCAGGAAGACTGCCAAACTTTTTTTAATCAAGAGGATGAACCTTTTAGTGATGGTGTAGTCTTTATAAGAGGCTAGCAATAAGGTATCTGTACTGCTGTGTTCTTAGCTACTTTAAAGTGACACAACATGTTCTGAAATAAATTGACGTGACACGGTAAACCTGCCAGCTGTAATTATATAATTATAAAGTTGAACACGAGAAGACTGCTTGAGCAAATAAGTATTTCAGGTCCCATTGTGGAGCTTGTTCATCACTGGTGATAAGTATTTTGCATTTTGCCTGGGAAGCAGTTATGTTGCATAATTGTATGCTGTTACGTTAATAATATAGGATTCATATTCCTAAAACAAATTCAAGTGCAACATCCAGCCTTAGCAGTATAAAATACAGGACCATATAATATTTAGAGGTGCTATGCTGGACCTTGTTCTCACCAACAAGGAGGGGCTGGTGGGGAATGTGAAGCTCAAGGGCAGCCTGGGCTGCAGTGACCACGAAATGGTGGAGTTCAAGATCCTTAGGGCACCAAGGAGGGCGCACAGCAAGCTCACTA